CTACAACTACACAATCACAAGTTCTCTGAAGACAGTGGCCTGTAACTTTAAGCAAGCACAGGTCAGTTTTGGTGTTAAATGCTCATTTGCTTAATTGCAGAAACAACAGAGCTGAGTAATATCCCCTTAACACCCAGACAAGCAAGATAAAAAACACTAAAACAAAACCAACCATCACCCTCTGAATTTATTTACCAGCCAGCAGCAGAAGGGCTTTATCTGTTTTTTTGCCTGTGTCCTTGCACCTTGGAATGACAAAACTGCATTATTCTTTGTTTTTTAAGGTTCCAACTAAATGATGGCAGCTTCCCTGGGGAGGAAGCCATGCTTGGAGCTGGTGTGGAGGCCCCTGCCCAGGTGTCCTGAATTTCACAGGCTGCCCAGAGCCCTTGGGCAGCCCCAGCCAGGCCCTGTGCTGCTGCTGAGGGCCTGCGAGAAGCTGCCTGGGCTCTCCCGGGGATGGGCCTGTGTGTGTCTCAGAAGGTGAGTCTCTTACAATTTTTTGATTTTTTTTTTTTTCTTATGGTGGTAATTCCTCATACTGCTCTGGAGAATTCTGGGCATCTGAGGACTAAGATCTCCTAATGCTGCAGGAGCTCTATCTGACGGGAAGGTTAGTCCAGGAAATTCCCCTTTTTGAGGTTTCTCGGATATCTGTGGGTTGTCTTTAAGATTGTGACCAGGAATAACCTGAACTCCCACACTGCGCCCGGTCTCCATTTGCAGCAACTGGGTGGGCTGAGCAATTCCTCAGAAAAAAACCCTTTTGGCTGCCTGCTTTTGCAGAGGGGCTCTCCCACCCCCGGGCTGAACCTGCCTGTTTCCCACGACGGCTGCAGCACCAGTCCGGTAGCAGGAGGGGATGTTTGGATGCAACAGGAGTGCTTTAAAAGAAAGGGGTTTTTGCTCGTTAGCGTTACTGTGGTTGGAAAAGGCTCTGGAGGTATTTAAAGTCAAAGCAAGAACAGGTGTAGTACCCTAAGATCAATGTGATATAAAATGGCGCATCTGAAGCGCTATACTTGCTTCAGCTCCTGCCCTGATTGCAGGGCCCAGGTCAGAAACCCATGATCGCAGTGGCTGGGGTGGACTCGATGCTTTATTAGAGGTGTGAGTGAGCTGTGCTCCGCAAACCATGAGCTCTGCACCCTTCAGCTTAGAGAGAAGAGGGGGTTTCTTGTATTTTTAGGAGTTTAACATACACTGCATGTATACATGGTCTCCCTAGGACTTCTGAAGCTTGGTGCTGTTGGCAGTGTGGCATTTTCAAGCTGGGGTATAAATTTGTTATGAAATCACCTGGTGATTACATGTTGCATTATAATAAACATAAACTAGTACAGGGGCTAAAGTGGCATTTCAGCCTCTGGACTGGGCAGGCAAGGTTGCTCTGCTTAATTCCCACCTCTGCAATGAGGTCGCCATTTCCTTTTCCTGCCATCGAACAGTTGGGTTAACCTCAATCCCTCAGTCATTAGTAAATATTAGTAAGTCATATGTGACATTTTGCACTAAGTGAGGCTGCAAGTTCTGCCTGTAGGAAGTTTTTAATTAAATAAAGCTCCCCGCTGTGTGCAGAGGGGCAGGGGGGAGAAGGCAGAATTCAAAGGGGAGATGAAAGCTACTGTCTTTGCCTGCCACGCCGGGGTGCAGGCAGGACTTCAGCTCTGTCTTGGACCTCTCTTTCAGAGAAGCCCTTGGGTTCTTCAGGTGGCCTCTCATCTGAAGTTACAGCACATGGTTTGAGCTCCTACTCCAACAGGCTTTCCAGAAGCTGCTCGAAAATATTGGGCTTAGCACCTGAATAAGCCCCCTACGAAAGCTTGTAGAGCAAGCATTGCTGGTGGTAGGGGTAAACCAGTGCTTTGTGCTGAGCACCACATGCACCAGGGAGGAAAAACCGTTGAGCCAAGATCAGACCTGAAACTGGAGCCTTTTCTTGAGATCTCAGAGTTTCTGAACTTGGAGCTGGGGGTGAGTATAGGTCTGATCTCTCCCAGCCTTCAAGAACCTTCCTGCCCTTACTGTATCCTGCATTTATAAGACTGTAGTAGTGGTCTGGGACTGCCTGTGTGCCTGGCTAGTGCAGCAGTGGGGATGCTCACCGGAGAATGTCAAGGAAGGGAAGGTGGAGCTGCGGCTGCTGCCTTTCCCTCTGCAGCTCACCCTTACTGCTGTCGGGCAGGGTTTGAGCTCTCTGCCTGCAAAGCAACGTGGAAAGGAGACTGCCACGGGGCCAGCGGTGGAGACAGCAGGCTGTGCTGGGTGCTGGGCTCTGCTGCCGTCGGGTGCTGCAGGGCCTGGCTGCTCTGGATCTATCAGGACCTGTAACTAATATTTGCTGCTTTCACTGGGATGCACTTTGCCTGGATTTAACAGTGATTTTTTTTTTTGTTGCCTCTCTGTTCTCTTGTATATATTCCTATGCCACTCAGCAGCTGTGTTGCTCATACGCATAAAGCTTTCAAGGCAACTGGTGGCTGCTGGTGCTCCCGTGTGCTCTACCTTTAGTGAAAGAACAAAAAGTGTGCTGGCTGCCGGGGAGCAGCAGCTAAAGAGATGTTCCACCATCCGGCTACAGGGGCAGGCAGGTGTCAAAAAAGTATTGTTTTCACTTGTCCATCACTTGTTTGGTTTCTTCCTCTGGTCGCGGTCGATGGCTGCTCGCCGGGGAGCTGGGCAGTGCTGTGGCTAGTAGCACAGGATGACAGGAGAGGTTGGCAAAGTCCCGATGCCTTGGCTGTGGTCGTGTTTATTTGCACAGGACAGACAGTGTCCCGTCACCCTCGGCAAGAGGCAGGGGGTGAGTTTTGGCACACAGAGCTCAACCTGAGGTCTGTGCCTCTCCCTTGGCCGTGGTGTGACATGCAGGCCAGGAGCAGCCTGAGCGCATGTCTTGAGGGTTCCTGGGCTTTCTCAGTTGGCTCAGATAAGCCCAGAACTGTCTCTTCTGTTTATCCCTCAAAGGGAGTCTCCAACCTCGTGGAAATCTGGCAATAACTGAGCCCCTAGCAATATGGCCAGTTAACTTCCCAGTGTGAATGTCTTGGCTTCTTCCTAACACCCGAGTGGCTGAAACTTTTTCTATCTAGATCCATTTAGGAGGAAAAATGAGTGTTTAAATGACATAGAGCTGGTTTTGACATTAGGAACAACTGATTTTGACAAAAGCACAGAAATAGCCCTAAACTTCCAAGCCAAGTAATGAATCTTCATGGTACATGGAAAGGAAAATTCTAAGAACCTTATTTATAAACTTATTCAGTAAATAATTTTAAATGATGAACAAATGTGTTAATCCTAAGCTGGGTGTGATTAATACAGCCTGAACTAGCCATTTAGCCATGTCTAAAGGAGAAAGAAGCATATGAATAATCTGAGGATTGTACAGTGGAGTGCAGTGATTTAGGCCAGGAAGGGTACGGGTTGATTGGCACCAGTGGCCAGCACGTAGAGATCCAGCCCACCTGAGCCCATGGCAAAGATGATAAGATGTGTCTTGCCTTAGGTTATCTTTGCTGTGAGATGTAAGTGGGGATTGTGAGATGGCTGGGTTGCACACCAGCCTGCTCTGAGCATCCCTGCAAATGAACACAGAGCCATTAAAGTGCTCAACACAGCTCCCACAAGCCATCATAAAACCCCTGAAATTCCTCCGTTTTCCCCCATTAATCTTGTATTGCTGGAGAAGAAGGAAACCCTGACAGTCAAGAGCTTGGTGAAAGAGGGGCTCAGCCCACAGGTGTCCTGGCCTACTGCCACGCTTCTCTGTGCCTCATCTATTTAAAAGGCTTTCAAGAGCCTCCAGCCATTATCCACATACTCCAGCAGAGAGAACCAGGATCCCACTCCCTTTTCTTTGAGCAGTAGCTGAGAGGAAAATGCGCGTTTTCCCACCTGGCACCTCAGACACAGAAGTTTCACGCTAATTTACCTGAATAAAGATGAATGGTTAGAAGAAGAGGCTAAATAATACCTCTGGGTAGGCTTTGCTGGCGGGTATGGGCTGTGGTGCACTGCAGTATCTAAACTCTGTTTAAAGAAATAATTTATTGCTGTTTTTTTTCTCTTTAAGCAGTAGCTGGTCAGGCCTTTTGGAACAACCATGCTGTTCCTCATTTGGAGATCAGGCATATAGGGCTCAGTGTGGGAAGTGTGTAGTGCTTCCATGGGATTGCTGGGCTTGCTGGTTCCTGCATCAGGGATGTCCAAATTTGGGGATGTGGCCGTTGTGGGGCATGAAGTCCCCTAGAGCTGCCTCCAAAGAGGGTCTGTCTGCCATGGGTGGGCAGGGGGGAAAGGCCATTCAGAGCCTGTGACCCCTCCAGTGCTCTGGGGAACCTGCCCAGAGGATCTGGGTCTGAGCGCTCTGGCTTTGGAGTCTTTCTGGGTCTGAACTCAAACTGGGAGCATCTCTTCAAGTGAGGAGCAGGAGACGAGATGCCTTAGTGTCATTTTGACCAGAAGACTTATTGCCCCTACTGCAGATCTACACTGTGTACGTGAGCACAGGAGCAAAGGAATGTCCTTGTAATACAGAATTAAAGGATTAGAAATATTAGAAATAATTGTCCAGCTGAGCACTGTGATTAGCTCTGTAGCTATGAATTCTGCAATACCCTAGCTGGAATCGCTGGCTATTCATCATAAAGGGACTTTTGGGAGTAGGGTTAGGGGATCAGGGACAAGTTCTTACTAACAAGAAATTTGTTCTCTGCTGTCGTTACAAAGAGCTGCTAAAATCTGTTGTGGAAGTAGGGAGGCTGCAGAGGGGACAGGACGTGCAGTAGGAATACTCATTTTAGATAGAAAACGCCTAAAAGGATGCTTTGTGTTGGAGCGGGGCGGGGGGGGCGCATGGGGGTGGGAGCGCGCAGGCGGCACCCATCGGGGCTGCTCCGGGTGACCTACCCCCACCCCAAAAATGCCCGCCCCTGCCTGCTGCCCGCCGTGTGGCGGTGGGAGGAGGAGGAGGAGGAGGAGGAGGAGGAGGGGGAGGGGGGAGTCCCCAGCTCCGGCATGAGGCCGGGCTGAGCGATGTGCGAGCAGGCAGCGCGCTACTGCCGGGCCGGCGTGCAGAGGCTGCTGCGCAAACCTCCGCCGGCGCTGCGCGGGCTGGACGGGCTGCTGCGCTGGGTGGTGGCCAGGATGGGCGACAAGGGCGTCGCCGAGCGGGAGCTGCTCACCCCGGGCGCCGCCGCCGCGCAGAGGAAGGGCACCTCCGTCATCCTCGATGTGAGTGGTCCCCCCGCGTCCCGGCACCCCAAGGGCCGGCGGGTGCGGGCGGCAACGCCGGCTCCTGCCTCGCTCCCTGCGCGGATCCTGCACCCGCTCGGGATCGGGCTGGGTCCTGCACCCCCCACCCCGGACCGGCTGGGGGGACGGGTGGTACCGCGGGTTCTGCAACCCACACCTGGGTGGGCGTGGGCGTGCAGCCCGGGTCCCGCACCCCCCTCCCCTGCCCGGGTCCCGCACCCATCCCACCAGCTCGGGACCGGCGTTATTTCCCGGGTTCTGCATCCGCGGGGCTGCGCTCGGGTCCAGCATCTCCCGGCCCGGCTGGGCAAGAGGCTGCACCCCGGTTCCTGTACCCGCTCGCCCGGTTCCTGCACCCGCAGGCTCCATGGGCACGGGAGCGCACCGCCCTTCCCGCACCCTCGTTGCCGGCTCCTGCACCCCCCGACCACCTTGGTATCGGGGTCACTCCTCGGATCCTGCAGCCCCGGCCGGTTGGGGATGGGGTGCAACCCAGGTCCTGCGTCTCCCGGACTGGCTGGGCACAGGAGTGCCCAGATCTGGCAAACCCCTTTCCAAATCCTGTGCCCCTGGGCATGGATAGGGTTGTAGCCCGGGTCCAGCACGCACTTGTCCGGATCTTACACCTCCTAGACTAGCTGGGCACTACGGGTGCCCCCCCTTGCCCTGCCGCTGGGAATGAGGTGCACCTTGGTCCTACATCTCCCGGACCGGCCGGGCATGGGTGCACACCCTGGATCCTGCACCCCCTTTCCTGGGTCCTTCACCCCCGAAGTGGATGGGCATGAGGTGTAGCCCGGGTCCTGCATTTTTATTTTTGACTGGCTGGGCACGGGGATGCAGCCTGTATCCTTTATCTCCTCACCAGGATCCTGTACCTTCTGGACCATCTGGGTATGGGAGTGTGCACCCCAGGTCCTGCATCCCCTGGACCAGCTGGGATGGGGATGCACTGTATTTCCTTAATCCTGGTATTAGTTTGATTGGAAGGGGATGCAGGACTCCAGGTCCCGCAACCCCCCCCTCCCCCGGTCGTACACCATGTGTTGCCCCACATTAGCTGGGAATATGGGGGTGCACCCCAGGTCCTGCATCTGCCCCGAGTGCTGGACCCCAGTCCCTGGGGGGCTGCAGCTGGGAGGGTCTGTGCAGTGGGAAGTGGGCAGCATGGACGCCTGTGAGTGCGTGGGACCTGGGGTTCCCTTTCCTAGGTTTGGAGGGGCAGGCAGGGATGTGCTTAGTGCCTTGCCTGCGATATTTATAGTCTTTCTGATTAGGGAGCTAACGAGGCGATTTGCACTTAAATGAATTGGGAGAATAGGGTGGAATCAACCGGAGTGCAAACGGTGTAATTACAGTCTTACTGCAGCATCTAGTAATTAAACACCTAGATCCTCAGCTTTGCTATATTCTAGCTTTTTTTTAAAAAAAAAAAAAAAAAGTAGTGAATGCAAAAATAAACTACTGAGGCGTTGGCTGTAGTAAAGGATAGCTCATGCTTCATGTTCTTCTCCAGCCTCCTCAGAGTTAGGCAGTAGTAGCACTTCCAGGCAAACCCTGGCATTTTCTGAATAATTTGCTGGATCTTCTACCACACCTTTTGATAGGCATTGATGTGGGCTGAAGAGTCTGAAACTCATGACATCTCTGAGCACCCTGGGCTGATAGGCATGTCAGGTCCCTGAAGGAACTGGAGTGACTGTGGGAGCAGAGCTCTTGGCGGATGGTCCTGCCCGGTGCAACGGGCCAGCTGGTGGGAAATGCGGCTTCACTGGGAAACTGAAAGGACAAACGCAACTAATACCCTTATGTCTTTTAAGTTAACTTGTTTATTTTTTTTCTGTTTTGTTTTGTTTTTCATCTGCCCTGAAATTACCAAAATTTTACAACAATCTGGAACCTGGGCTTCAGATCATAAATGCAGTTGGGAAGCAACATTAAGTTTATACAAGTGGTTCTTGAGTTTGGACTGTTTTTCCACCAGAATGATACCTTATTTTTTCAACTTCACCATCTTTTAATGGATTTTTTTTTCTTCCACTTTGAGGTTTGAGCCATGAACTTTCAGAATGTCTTAACCATGGGAAATATAATAGAGCTGGGTGTGCAGCTGCTAATCCTTTTTCCCTTTCACAATGGGTCTGGGAGTCCTTTTTCACCTGCTGAAAGTAGAAATGGATGCTGGAAATAGAAGGTTTGAGAGTTTGGTCGTTTTTGGTTTGTTTTTTTTTTTTTTTTTTTTCCCCTCCTCCCTTAGAACTTGCTTCTCTCCTTTTTCTTCAATTACAATAGAAGCCTCAATTGAAGCTGTGGCTTCTGTGTAACAGGCTCTTCAAGTGCACTGTGAGAACCTCCCCTTTCATACAAAGAGCTTAAACACGGGAACATGCTTTTAGGTTGATTTTCACACATTAGCAGGAAAGCAACAAGGATCCCTCTGAATCCTTGGGGATGAGAACATATTTTCCGATTAACTCATTCACGTTCTTGCATTACGTGGATGTGCTGGGGAAGCAGCAAGTCCCAGCCACACAGCAGTGCAGCTCGTCAGTGGGTGGGGATGAAGTAAAAGACCTGTAAGATTTTTATATTTAACTAACACGTTTGGATGAGCTGGTGTGCTATGTAGGCAGTTCATCGGGGGCTGGGAAAGGAAGGTTAAGCTTGGTTTTGGCTATGAATTAGGTAAGATGGCTCTGACGCTAATGGTACCTTAGTCACTTTTTCTTCCACTTCTATTCTGTTTTCATGTTGACTCAACCATGCCCGATGTTCTTGTCCTGATTCCTCCAGACTGTGAGGGTGGCTGGTGGGTCACTGTGAAGTTGCCTACACCCTTTTCACCAGAGAAATCAAAGTGTCGTGTTATGGGGCTAAACAGGGCTGAGGAAGAACAAAATACAACAGGGGGTTAAATATCGTCTGCCATCAACCTGGCTACTGCCACTTGGAGGGTGAATCTTAATGTAGAGCTGGTTTCAGTATTTTTCCTTTATTTTGCTTGTGTCCTTTTAGGTAAAAGATTAAAAAAAAGATCAGCTCAAAATCCTGGGTTTCCAAGTGTAAAAAGTAGCTAAAATTTCATATTAACTAAACCCTGGTAACAAACTAATGAGGAAAATATTTAAGTCCTCATCATTTCCTAAAATAGGCAACGAGTAAAACTAGGGAGCAACAGCTGCTCTTCAGTGGTGGCAGTAGGTGAAGTGAAGGTGACGTGTCGCTCTAGGAACCTGGAAAACATGACTTTGCATTTAATGATCAGCTCTTATGTCAGTCAGATCAGCATGAGGGGTTGGGGTTGAGCAAAGGGTCAGTGCCCATCCTGCACTCACCCTTAGGTCTCTACCTGTGGGTGTTTGCTCTGGGGGTCTGGACTGCACAGGGCTGCTTCCTCTGCAAGAGCCAAAAGCTCAGGGTTGGCAGCATGTATAATCTACTGTAGATAACTGGTGTCTATCCACAGCTTATGATGAGAGATTGTGGTAATGCTATGTTCCCTCTCTGCCTTCTGGGCTGCTTGAAGATGCTCTGAGCTTCTCTCTGCACCCACAAGGACAAAACCCCTTCATTAAAAGGGAGCTGAAACTGTCACGATGCTGCTCAAATCCTCATGTGGTGATGGAGGCATTTCCAGTCCAGAGCAAATCCTCAGCTGTCACAAGGCTTATGATAAGGAGAACATAGGATGTGGCTGGGTAAGCCTATATCAGATAATATTTGCTGAGTGTGAATGAGTCCACATGGAATATAGGGCTGATGTGGGTAGTTCCCAAGGCATGGGAAATGTCTAGACAGGTATTGCTTTCTGGGAGTACTTCAGTGCTGACTTACTGACTGTCCTTGCTCATCTTGTCCTGCCTTCACGTTACTGTCAAAAACCTGCGTTGGCAGCAGAGTGTGAACTCCAGCTCGGGTAAGACCTGGTCAGTCACAGCGGCTGCAGGCGGAGAAGCACCAGGGAGAGCCTGTTGAAGAGCTCATCTCTTACTTGGAATCTGAAATAAGGGTCAGCCTTGGGTATGGTGAGCATCCCTATGGCAGGACTGTGCACTCCAAGGGGTGGTGACATCTCTGCCAATAGTGAGTAGATTCATTGCTTTTTGGGGTTATTTTAAATGCCCCTGAAGAAAGCAGTGCCATTCATTTCAGGTCAGATGAAGCTTTGTTTGAACTGCTTTGTCTTTTGCTGAAAACTAATTTTGACCCTTATCTGCCTCCTTCCTTCTTTGACAGGCTCAGAAAGATCATTTCAAATCCATCTCTCCTCTTGCATCCTTTCTTACCTGGCCAAATCTGATTTGCACTTCAGCCCCATGAGGTTGAGCAAGGTGTTTGGGTAGAAGATACACATAATTTGGTTTGTGCCAAAGGTGTATTTCCAAATGTAGATCCAAGAACCGGCACATTTTTCCAACTGCTTTGTCAATGATGCAGTTGCCAGTGCAGCCCTAACTAGCAAAGCTATCACAGCCACAGGAATCCCCCCTCAGTTCCCTTCTGCTTTGACCTTTTTCCTTCTTTTTTTTTTTTTTTGGTTGGTTTGTTTGTTTTGATTTTTTTTTTTTTTTTTTTAAGGTTGATTTACTCTTCTTTTTTTTTTTTTGTCTTAGTTTACCTTCCTACTTCTTGGAGTGAACCAGGAAGGCTGTAAAAGCTCTTTTGGTTTTCCTCCTCCTTCAACCTCCCTACGTGAAATCTATAGTTTGAAATTGTCCCCTCGAGACACACTGGCAGGGCACAGCTGGAAAGCAGGTCCAGGGGCCGGCTGGGCTCTGTGCATTTGGGGATTGCTTGCTGCAAGGTACGTAATTGCTTGGAAAAGTTCATCATTTCTCTTCTGCTCTCCAGGGCTTTGTAAGTGGGTGCTTGAAATGGAGCTGCACCCAGGGCCAATGTTTATGGAAACTAACTTCTAGTGCCATATAGGTGGTAACATCTATTGCAACTCTTGCCTGTCTCATGCAACTTTTATTTAGGACAGCTAGGTAAAGCCTAAGGAGAAGGTAAGAGTGAAAGGAGAGGCTAGGACAGGGTGCTAACTGCTCTGCTTTTGGGGAGACAAAAACCATCTGCTTTGGAGTGGGACCCACTCCGGATGGGACAATATTTCCACACCAATGTTGTATTTCCTACTGAAACACCAAAATCAAACCTCTTTCCTGCGTGGGGAGAGGTTGATAGCCTGATGATGTCTAATGATGTAGTCCAAAGGGACAAAGCCTCAGGTCATTATTTTCTCACATTAGTACTGGAAAGAGCAACGTAGAGAGGCTGTAGGAGAGGAAATTCCTACCAGTACCTTGAGTTAGAGAACTAAAGGCCATACCTGATATCAACCCTTGTCTCAGCTCCAAATGAGGTGTCAAGACTTGTAGGGATAGGAACAAAAAGCAAAAACAGGAATTCAGGAGCGCACTGAACAAATTAATCAGTTTTTTAGGTATGTCTGAGTGTCTGGATGCTTTCTCATCCATTGGCTTTCCTCACCCTTAGATTTTGCTTGTCCTTGATGCTGCACCAAGATTATAATGGAAAAGAAAATTCTAGCTCAGTTGCACTCGATTTTTGAATCAACATCGTATTAACCTGCTGAAGAGACTATAAACGCTACAAACCCTGCAATAATTCTTTGTCTTGTTAGGGGAGTGTTTTTGTGAATTTAATAAAATTGTCGAGACGATGTCCATTAAGCAGCCTCCAGTGTCACACATACTCATCCAAGGGCCTTGAGAAGGCAGAACTGAACGTTTAAATTTGAAACCATAAATTTTTTTTCAAGTTTATTATTACCAGTAGCATTCTGAATTGCTTATATCTCCAGCCAAATATCTGCAGTAGCCATTTGAGAATACAGGAAAAATATATGTTTTTTTTAAAAAAGCTATTGGAAATCTTGTCAGAGGCTTCTTGCTCTAAATAAAATAAATTTTATATTCATCTAAATACCTGGTAAATGAAATAAGTATGCTGCAGACAGCAAACCGCATGCACTGCCTGTGTAAATCCTATAAAATGTGTTAATCTGGCCCATATCGTGGGCATCCTGTGGTGCCCACCATGCGACTGCCCTGTGCTTCGGGAGACTTGCTTAGTAGGTTTAAAGCATAGCTGATGGGGGAGATGGTTGCTGTAGTACGTTTTGGACAGGATAATTTCTCATTTGCCATCTGAGAGCAGCACGTCACCCTGACGGTTGGAGAACTGGGGGTGATGGAGCAGAAAGAGCTTTGCTGTGCTGCCGGCTCCTGTTTCACGAAGCCCTCGTCGGCTGGGAGCGGTCCTTGGCCGGGGTGGAGGCGCAGGAAGCCAATCGCTGCCAAAGGCCTGGCAGGACAGGGTGTTTCTCCATCAATATTTCGTCCCCTCCACTCTCGCTGACCTCCAGGGCTGCTGCCTTGACGAAGTCTCAGTGACTTTGCTGCTGAGAGAGAATAGCAGCGATGGAGTTACCCCAAGCCCGAGGAGAGCGGCTGCGGGTCGGACTGGCTTTGCAGCCTGTGTTGGAGATGGCGCAGCAACCTTGCTTATATTCCATTCTTCCTGGAGCTGGTTGGAATTTTCCTTTCCCCGAGCTCCCTGGGAGCCCAGCACTGAGCTGCCCTTGGGGTTTTTCCCCACTGGTCCATAGGGGAGGCGTGAGGGGCTGCAGTTTCCCTTCCATCACCAGGTCTAACACCCTTCCCTTACCGAAAGCACACCGCATCCTTCCCACAGTGGAACAACTAATTCAAGCTGTGAACGGAGGGCATTTTCAGGTTGTATGTGGGAGGGCACTCGTTTGCTGAGCTAGAGCTCAAATCCTGGGTCTTCACAGAAGCTGCATTTTTGGCAATGTTACCGAGCCACCGTGTAGTATATTATGTCTTTATCAGCCTCCTGATGCTCATTCCAGTGTTCATACCTTGATGTACTGCTTGCCTGTGTTGATAGGTGACTTTATCTTAAATTGCTTTCTTTCCAGGTGTCCTGTTTTAAATTTTTTGTGTATGTAAATTTTAGGTAGTGCAATTAAGTTGAAACAATAAATCTTGCTCATTAGCAATAAAAACTAAACAGCTTAGTCCTGTAGAATAAACTTTGATAGGTAACACAGCTAATGTGATCTTTCATCAATGTGTTCATTTACAAATAGTCATACTTTCTAGAAGTACCTGGGGGAGTTAAAGCCCTAGACATTTCACTTAGTGAAGCTGGCCATAAATACTTCCATTTCTTAACATTTCTTCCATTTCTTAATTTATTTTTTTCTCTTGCTCTGACAGTTCATTGCAAGGTTGGTGGCTTCACAGAGTGCAGCGCTGCAGATTGAGCCTTTCTTCCACTTTACGCTACATTTTACTTATTGTTTTTGCCTTCCTGTTCTCCCTCTGCCAGTTGCACATAGCGGGATGGCGATCCCCCACAGGACCTTAAAATAGACATCGCTGCCTCTGTGTTAGACTTGATGCAATGTCTTTGTTTCAAAGCAGTGGGAACAGTAATAGAAGGACATGGCGATGAAACAAAAAAACCCAGAAATAATCAGCATCTAGAAAGAAAAGTGCCTCATCTGGGAGTGCTCATGGAGAGTGAGGAGTTGAGGTGTCCAAGCCAGGAAAAGAGGAAAATTTCATACTCTGGGCAGGACATATTGTGCATGGTTGGGGGATGTGCCAAAGCCATGGGGCTTGCCGGGGTCCTGCTTGTCCTGCCTGGCTTCGTTCTTTCTTCCCATAGACAAGCCATGACTGGCTGCCCCTTCAAAACCCATATTTAACCTCAGTGAAGTCCATAAATATGGAGACAGGTAGGATTTCCTCCCTAAACTTCTAACTACTCTAAAAAAATGAAGGTCAGTCCAAGAAGTAAGCAGTTTTGGAGTGGTTGCAAGCTGTAATCCTTGTAGGGTTTGTATGACCTTCTCTTGAAGCTGGGACTCAGCGACTCCCACCATTTGGGTTTGGCTTAAGCCGAGGGTGCTGGCTTCTGCTGTAGTACACCAGAAAGTCCAGCTTTGACTTTGCCGTGTGCACCCTAGGAAGAACTTCGGGCAAAAGAATGATTAATGTTCTTTAATTAAGCTATATTCACATAAATAGCACATTCTGCAATTTGTCTCTTGGGTTTCTTGTTTTGTGCAGCAGTTTCTCTTCTGATTTTTTTTTTTGTAATGATTTTATGACCCAGAAAATAAGAGATTCTATTTTATGGCTGGCTCTGATCTGTCCTGCTGCTGCTTTTATTCCCTCCACAGGGAAATCTCTTTGTACAGCCAAAACCTCTGCTCTTGCTCAAATTAATATGGTCAGGTCTGAGGAGACGATGAGAATGTTTTCCTTTTTCTGCCCAGTTTATAAGCATGTTAATTTTTTGGTAATTTATGGCCAGACCTGTGGTAGCAGCCGTTTTCGGCAGGAACCTATAAGGTTTCGACCCTTGCACTATCCTTTTGCTATTAATTGCATTGTGTCAGGGGGCTATTCCTAAGATGAGACTAGTCAGAAAAATATCAGTTGTTTCTGCTGTCTTTCTCCCTGGCAAATTCTACTGTACTACACGTTATTGCTTTTTTTTTTTTTCTTTTGAAAGGGCTATCTGATTCCTCTCTGTGGGCTGTTCATCCACACTATAGTTTTAAGTCTAAATATAATCTCCTTCCCATGAAGTAAACATGCTTTAAAAAAAAAAAAAAATGTAAATAATTTGTTTCAGAAGTGCAGAACTGTGAAACTTGGTTTAAGAGATATTGATGCTAGAGATGTTGGCTGGGCTGGCTGCATGGGTGCTGTATTTTTTTTTTTATGGGTATTTTTGTTGTGTTGGATCTATGCTTTCAGCTTTCTTCTGCGAAGGAGATGGGAGATGCTGGAGATGCTGGAAGCATTTTGTGTTATCTTTATTTTGTTAGCTAGTTTCTTTTCCACCAGTTATTTCAAGGGCAACCATGTTGATACCCTACCCTGGTGGTGGTTGTCCACTGTGTGGGTCTGAGGGTGATGGGCTGAGTCTTGGGAAGAGTGAGCTCAGCAAAGCACCTGAATTGGCTCTTCTGGGGGTGGAGTGCATGGTCCTGCCCTGTGCGTGGGGCAGGACATGGTCCTGGTGCTAAAGGCTTCACCCTTTCAAGTCAAACAACATAGTAAAAATGTTTCTTTCTCTCTTTTAATTCTAGATTTTCAGAAGAGCTGACAAAAATGGTAAGTCTGTACATTCATATTTCACGTTTCTTGATTGAACTTTTGTTCAAAATTTCTGTTACCATTTTTCCTGATAGTAACATGTAACTGTTTAAATGTCTTTCAGTTTACTGGGTCTGACACAGGTATGGTCTAAGCATCAGAAAAAGTCTTGTTGGTTTTTTGGCTGAGATATTCTTAGAGCAGATGTGATACTAGTGTCCAAGTCAGCATGGCAAGATTCACCAGATTTGTGTCAATTTCACAAAAAAAAAAAAAAAAAAAAGCCCATAAAAATAAATCGCAGCTATGTGATAAGTGAGGGTGTACCCCTTGGTGGTAATCTTGGAACAGCTTTGCAAAACAGACCTAATCTGTGAATATTCGTAGTTTGGTTCCTGAAGGACTGGACACACACATTGAGGAGCAACATGTATTAATGTGTGTTTTCAGTCTGTGCCTGTAGAAAGCTGAACAACTGCCGAGCCTAGTCTTGTCTTTATATGGGGAACAACACGGTGGTGACTTCATTAAATAACTTGGGATCCTGAAAGGAGACAACAGCTCTGCTGTGAGATAATGTAGTTATGGGAAAAAGAGGCAACGGGTCCAAACCCAGGATCTTTCTCCACCCTGAAAAGCAATTTAATTTTAGCTCCTAGCTAAAATCCCAAGAGCTAGTCCCTATTCTTTCCCTGTTGTACAAGAAGAAAATTAAATATGCATCAAAACTGTGTGTGTTTGCAGAGGGACATGTGGGAGGGTTGTGCAGAGGAGCACAGGGGAGAGTTTGGTTTTTTTAATATCAGATTTAAAAGGGAGATACCTGATTTCTGCAAGAGCTCATAGATACATATGATCACTGCCCCTAGATAAGGCAGTGAAGGATGCTGTGAGCTGGCTGGCATATAAGCAGCAAATGCCTTGTTAACATTGGCATTTGGTTGTAACAACTGACACAATAATAAGACATTGAAATTTGTTGCTTGGGTAAGCTGAGCAGTTGTGCAATGGAAGGGGAATGCTGGGGGGGCTGGCATGGGGGAAGAATGCTCCAAGTGCCGTTTGTGGGGAAGAATGAATTTGTGCTCTTGACACCCAGACTGTCGTACTTCACAGCCTCCTGAGCACTTAATTGTTGCCTAATTGGAGACCTGGAGGTTTTGTCTGATGAAATATTAGATGCTGCCTCTGAGAGATGCTGCCTGCTTGCTTTCTGCTGGCTGGTGTGCCTGCCCCCATGGAGCTGAGTGCTGGGCTTGCCAGTTTGTAATGAAGTCTTACCTGCCACTTGCTCTCCATCAGAAGTCTGGTGAGGTTTTTGGACCACAGTTGTCAGTGTCTTTGTTGCATGCAGATGCTGGGCTAAAATCTGTGCTTAGTTATTCCCGTCACAGTTTGAAGTTGAAAATGCCATGCCAAACTTTGGCCTGTGAAACTGTGCCTTGCTAAGCCCATTCTTAGCCTCCCTCCTGCCAGAACCTCCTTCCAGTTTCCAGGAAATTGGAAGCTGCCCTCTGTGTAGGGCAGCTGAAATCAAAAGCAGTGATTTTTCTTTTCAATAACAAATATTACTCTGCTGAACAAAGCTTGAAAGGATGCACTTTAACATACTGGTCTTGATGTAGTTATTTCCAGTGACTGCTCTTTGAGCTCTGCCAAATGATGCTGTGCTTTTGTTTTAGTCTCAATAAGATTTCTAACAGCTGTGATGGGGCTGAAGAATCGGAACTCAAAGTACAAAATCTTATCTTGGCTGTTACACCAATATTCAGGCTTTCCTACGATGGGTGAGTGGAGCTGCTCAGAAGTTGCTCTCAAAGCTTTGGTATTCCCTGCTCACCACAGCATGATGGAAGGAGCTGCAGCCTGACAGGGGCAGACAGACATATCTTTCCAACCCAGACAAGACAGAAAAGCTGCCATTTTGGTGGTTTTATCCCATCATTAGGTCCTGGGCATTAAATTTGAGTGCCTATCTCGCCACAGGGACAGCTCTCTTGGTGTATTTGGTAGGTGCCAGTGGCAAACCATGGATCTGTGTTTTGTGGTGTGGGTGATGACTTGGGGAAACGATGAGCCTTTGGACCTGCTGGTCTGATCTGGTGATGGGGCTCTGAGAAGAAAGATGTACCTTTGGAAAGCTGGTGATTTCTGCTGACCTGTTCCCTTGCTGTTATTGAAACCCATCCAAAACTCCTGTTTTTGCAACCTAATACTCTGTTGCTAATGATGGGCAAATACTCCCTCTGTGTTTTAGCATGAATAACAGGTAAAGGCCAAACAAGGTGCTTCATCAGCAAGAACAAACCTGTTGTTTTTACCTCTGACCCTCACCCTTGGAAAAATCTGCCCAGCTCCTCCATGGTCTTCTCCCTGGATATTCCTCCCTTTGTAAGGCTCAAACAAGTGATCCATGTAGATAACAGGCAGGATGACTCCACTGTGATTCAGGACAGCAAGTAGCTCAGGTACAGCATGACACTTAAAAGCATTTTCTTGTCCTGCTCATCCAACCAGAGAAGGTTTGGATTTGAGCTAAGAAGCAGTGATTAATACCACAGGGCTGACCTCGGGGTGTTCATCTGCCACCCTGGGCACACAAACACCTCTGCCTGGCAGACATACCCTCTTGGGAGCCAGGTACCCCATGACATAATCCCCATGAGGAGCGTTGCTCATGGATGAGTGGTCTCTTTGGTTGGCCGTGCTGTGCAGACATGAAACGGTGTTCACCCCTTTGCAGGTATTCCCCTGGATGCTGTTTGTCCAAACATCTTTATTCCACGTTACCCAGTAATATCCCAATTAAAACTAAAACAGAAATGCTTGCATGGATTGGAAGAACTGGAGATCTTCTTGTCTAGGTCACAAAATGTTAAAATGTGGGGATTGCCAGTGGCATGTCTGCCACTTGGTAGCTGTTAATGCATTGGGTGTAAAGATGATGGGCTGACCTGCCAGGACCCATAATCAGCTTGGGGTGGTACGAATGGGCACCAGCAGGACAAGCCCTATCTCGATGTCTGGTGGTTAAATTGGTGGTTCATTGTCGAAGATGGTGCTGGGTGGGAATTTGAGGTGTCACTGCCAGGATGCAGCAGGCTTGCAGGGGGGTGAGGAGACCAGCTCCTCTTAGCACAGGCAGAAAAGGTGTCTGTCCAGCCCTGGCGAGGCTGCTGGCTGCCATTGCTCTTCTGCAACTTGTCCTGCCTCTTCCTAGCCCTGGATGGGCACTGCAGGGGGGGGCAGCTGGCTCTGTTAATAAAGGCCAAATGTTCTCTGAAGAGTTATCTCCACCTCTGCTCCCACTCTCACTGATTGCAATGCAGGTGACTTACAGCTGCATTTTTTGGACAACGCAGCGCGGTGCTCTCCATGGGACTAACGCTGCCAGGCAAACGGGACATTGCCTTTTCTTTTTTCTGACCTGGATGACAGGCTGTCACAAAGTAGTCTGGAGTTAATTGGCAGCTCTACCCCCAGGTTGGTTCCTGCAAGGTGAGGTGGCTGAGCTTGTGTCAGTCTCAGCATGGCTGCTTTCCAGTCCCACTGAGTAGGGTTGTCCCTGTGGCCTTGGGGCTGGCTTCTGAAGGACTGTACATCCTGGTCTTCCCTACATTTTTCCAGATGCTGCTTTTTTCTTGAGACAACATCTGCCAGTCATGGTGGCCAGCTTCATCAGCCATTTGTATTTGCTTAACTCTTAATAAGGGAGTTTGCCACTCTTCATAGTGAGCTTAGTATGTTCCTCCACAGGCTTTTGGGGTCACGATTTCCCACAGCCACCCCTCCAGCCCCCTGCAGCTCGCAGCAGCTGCTGCAGGAGATGTGCAGAAATATTTCCATCGGTACAGCCTCCCAGCAAACTGTGGCTCAGAGATTTCCATAGCCAGAAGTAATATCTTTGTATTTAATATCCCTAGAGATCTCATTTTCACAATTTTCTCTTTGACATCTTGGCCTTTAATTTATTGATTTGTTGAAATTCAGTCTTTTCAATGGCTTTACCTGGTACAGCTCCAAGGAACAGTCGAAGCATCAGCCTGCTGCTTGCGTGTCTCACCTCAGGTGGCCTGCGTACAGCCGTACACAGCCCTCCACTGAAAAATTAACATCTTACACTTTCTGATTTTTGTCAGAATCCCAGGAAGGGGCCCTAAGCCCCGGACAGGCTGCTGAAAACACAAGCTCACAGGTTCCCGAAATATTTTACTCTGTTAACAGGCCCCTGCTGTCTCCACACCTGCAGACGTTCTTCTCTGGCAGGGACTTTGCTCTTTTTAATTAACCAGCTGAGACAAATCATTATCCAGTGCTGTGTGCCAGTGGCATACTGGGGTAGAGAGCTCCCAGGGCAGGGAGCGCTGGCAGCTTTACCCAGAACTGGCAACTCTTGTTTTCCTCTGTGCTAATGCCACTCTCGTGGACCTATGTAGGAGCCCTACAGAAAAGGGGGAAAAAGTCTGAAGAAAACTTCAGCTCTTGCCTTCTAGTTTAACTAGAACATCTCATGTAACTTTTGCCATCCAGAGATCAGATGATTAAAGGATCACCTGAAAGGCAAAGCGGGGATTGTAAGCTTCAGGAGTTGTTTCATTTTACATGCAGCTTCCTACAGTCAAGAGGTCTTAAATTTGGAAATCTTTTCAGCATCTTGATTTTTTTTTTTTTTTTTAATTTTTTTTTTTATTTCCCCCCTCCCCGCCTGGTAGAAATAACATGTGTTAAAGCAACGTGGCTGGTTCAGACACGGTAACTATGGAGCCTGATCATGTGAATTCAAGAGCTTCTCCCTCCTCCTTTTCCTTCCAAAGCTTTTTGGCATAAATTGTTAATTCATGTAAAATTGGATGTTCTTGGTGCAAGATGCTAAAACACATTATTGTTCCTGTCATGTTCAGGTACTTGTTTCAAGGCGATTTAATTCAGTGCCTACATGTATTAAGAGACTGTTGATGAGGCAGCTCTTGCTTGTTAAAAGATGTCATGGTCTCCTGCCCCAGAGAAGTGAGGTTCTG